AAAATTTTTCAAATATCAATGCTTACCCTGGCTCTAGCTTGATGAAATCAATGTCAGGAGGAGTGGAGCTGAGGTATGGGTATTTTTAAAAATCTTTCTAGGTGATTCTAAATGAAGCCAGGGTTGAGAATGGGGCCTCTGGGAGTTTCCCATCTTCAGAGTTCCCTGCTCTCCAGAGGTCAACTCCCTAGGGCTTACCCCCGCCCAGCCCCCATCCTAAGGGCTCTCCAGAGAAACCGCGCCTTCGTTCCCCAGCATTCCCTGGACATCTTAACTTGTCCACCCAGACCCCCCAGGACAAGCCGCCAACTCACCCTCTGATGCCCCCAGGGAGAAGACTGGCCATCAGCTCTTCCCAGAGGGGGCCCACCAGGCTTGAGCCTCCTGAATCTCTGACCCCAGGCCTTGGTTCTGTGGTGGAGGCAGTGAAGGCCACTGGGAGCTTAACCCCAACAGGATGAAGGCGCCATAATTAGGGTCAGGTGGTTGGCTCAGCCTGCGGAAATCCCCAGCTTAGTAGGGATAGGGGGCCTTCAGCCTGAGAAGGGGGGTCAGGGCAGAAGTGAGGGGGCAGGGAAGCCCAGGCACGTGGAGACCCCAGGACCTAGCTAGCCCCTAGCCACCTCCTGGGAGGGCCCACTAGAAACTCAACCCAGTTCATCCCCACCCTGGGTTGCTGACCCCCAGGGAGGGAGGAAAAGACTGACCAGCCCCCTAACCCCAGATGCCCCGCTGCTCCTTCAGGCTGGGGTATGCTGGGATCAACCCCCAACCCCAGCCTTTGGTGGGGGGAGGAGGGTACCTGTGGGAAAAGGCTACGTGAGCGTTCCCAGGGCAACACAGGCTTCTCTCTGGCCCATAATCCTCAGACCTTGAGTGAAGGATCACTTTCCTCTGTGGAATGTAACACTGAAGGGACAAAATGTGGCAGAAGGATAGGGGGGTGGAGGGGGCAGATGCCAGGGAATGAACTTTGCTGGGGGTACTTCCCAGCCCCCAACGGCCCTCCAGGAGGCAGCAATTACAAAGAGAAGTCTCCCCCACCCCCAGCTCACTCCAGGGCACAAGGTCTTGGGTTGGGCTGGCCAGGCCGCTCCCAGCAGACCCCCACCCTGAGTCCCAAGGGCCCTGGGTGAGCACCTCTGCTAACCACGCATTTGCAGGGGAGGAAATGGGGTCTAAGAGATTAGAACAGGCCAAGTCACATAGTGTCAGAACCACACCTAGAAGCTCCAGCTTCCCAAGAGACTACCCAAGTGAGCCAGCGGGAACTGAAACCTGCTCCCACGCTGGGCACTCACCCCTCCTTCCTGCCCTCCAGGGTCCTAGGCTGGGCATGGCTGGGCAAGCAGGGGGCAGGTGCATACCAGTCCACAAACTGGTGATGGCTGGGACCAGGGGCCAGCCCACTGGCTCCCACATTGAGATTCAAAACTGATTCCTCCAGGAAGCCTTCCAGGCTGCTCCACAAGGGGCTGGTAGAGCCAACACAGACACCCAGCCGTGACCTCCCAAAGGATGTCCTCCCCTCTCTTGTCTCCGCCCTGACCCATCACAGAGGACCTGCGTACGCCTCCGTTCTGCTAGCTGTCGGCTCTCCCAAGAGCCCCTGAGAGCAGGAGTGTGTGGGCACAAGGTACTGTGCCCAGCCCAGCACCAGCCACCGGGAGGCTCGGGAGCGAGGGTCTCTTAGAAAGGGTGCAAACTCAGCTTCAGTCACAGTACCTTGAAAAGACCTGGGTGGAAAGTCCCCTCCAAAGTCATCTGGTCCAGCCCCTCATAACTTGCAGTTTGGGGTAACCTCTGTCTCAACACCTGCAGCGGTGGATATCCCTTCATGTATTCATTCACTCATTCCTTCACCCACTGCTCCTCACCCAGCCGTCTTCCATGGCTCAGGGGCCAAGAGGCAACCCAAACCATTCTCAAGGATCTGGGCTAAGGCCTTAACAAATAGAGTTGGGGGGGGGGGTTGCTGCCAGTCACCCTTTCTGGGCCTAGCACAGCGCTAGGTGGAGGTAAAAGATCCCGACCAGCAACACCACCCCACATTTATGTTGCACTGGGGCACTTACACACCACTGACACACCCCGGTGTTCATTTCAGACTTCAAACCCCCATCCCAGGTGGTGTTGGCCCTGCTCACTGGGGGCAGCTGAGGCCCAGAGGCAGAATGCCTTTGCAGCTGGGAAAGGGCTGGCTTCAGGACACAGCCTGGGTAGCCGTGCTTCCAGCCCAGTGCCCACCTCACACCCCCACTCCCAGCCCTCCACCAGCTGGGGTTCAAATGTGGGAGATAGGCTTTGCCCAGGGGAGAAGAAAATGTGATTTAGGTTCCTAGCCATAAAAATAATAGTACAGATGAGTCAGAGGCCTGCTGGGTCCCAGACACTCTGCTGAATTTGTTAGAAGCAGGGGAGTCAAGTGTGGGACCCAGAACTCCCACTACCCCTCCTCGGGGGCCAGGCCTGCAGCGGGGGCGAGCATAGTTAGCAGGCGCGCGCGCACGCACACACACACACACACACACACAGAGCCCAGGTGGCGTGAGTCCCTGCACGTCCTAGGAGACGGGGTGTCCCAGCCCATTCACTCCCCTCTGATAACCCAGCAGCCTCCAGCAGGACAAGCACGTACCTTCAGGCTGGCCACCTCGGGCACATGCCAGGCCAGCTGCCAGGGCCCAGATCTCCAGCCCTGCTGGGCCCTAGAGCATGACCTCCCTGGCTCACCCTGTTCAACCTCAGGAAAGTGAGTGACCCCAAGGGATGTGAGGCCCGGAGGCCCCACCCAAGCCCCTCCTCGGGGCTAGGCTGTGCAGCAGGGCTGGAGCCTAATGAGGAGCCTCAGGGATCCCTGTGGCTTCGCGTCAGCACCCAGCTCCCGGGTGCGCTCCAGGGAGATGCAGAGTAACAGAGAGACACCTGGAAGGGCTAACAAGTCTCTAGCAGGAGAGAGGGCAGAGGGTGAGGGATGGCAGAGGGGAAAGTAGGGGTGATTCTGGGAAAGGTGTCTGTGTGAGGTCAAGGTTTGGAGTCAGGGAGAAGTATAGAGAGGGTTTGGCCAGGGAACGCTAACAGGGAATGCTAACAGGAATTTAGGAAAGGGAGGACCCGTGTGGGCATAGGCAGAGGAAATGGACTCTGGAGTGGGCACAGAGCTGGCTTGGAATCCTTGTCCTGCCGCTTATAAGCTGGGTGACCTGGGGCAGGTGGCTTACTCTCTCTGAGCCCCTTGGCATAATAGTACCCACCTCACAGATTTGTGACAAGTAAACGAAGTAAAACACTGAGCCTAGAGCCTAACACATGGGATCTGCCCAACTGATAGGCGCTGTTGCAAGGAAAATGCAAAAGACTCTGAGAGCAAACCCTGAAAAAGAAATCAAGCCTGCCCTCAGTCTGGTAGAAAGGGGAATTACAGAGCAGAGAGCCCAGGGAGGTCCTGGGGCCATGGACCCAGGGCAGACTCCCCTCAGTGCCCTTGTACTTGAAGGGTATAGGCGGTGAAGAAGAGGGTAAGACAGCCATTCCTGCCATGTGGCATCATTCTGGGGATTCTGAAAGGTCCTGGGAGAGTTCTCTCCACCCCAGGCCCTCCTCATTCACATGAGGGGGCCTAGGTCCAGAGAGGAAAAGGAACTTGCCCAAGGTCACTCCAAGAAGGCAGATCTGCTAACCCCCCAGCCAGCCTCCTTTCCCTTGTGCGTCACCCTGGCCCCTGTTCAGAAGAAGAAGCCAGGGGCAAAGACCCCTCAACTCCATGAAAGGGAAAGACCTAGAAATCATATTCCCTGGAAATAAAGATGAAAAGTTCCACTCCCATTCCCACTCAGGGCTTTAAATAAGACCTTGCTGAGGACTGGAGAATACTCATGCTGCCTCCGAAGCCCAGACCAAAGGCACCTCCTCTGGGAAGCCCTCCCTGACCAGCAATGGCAGTGGTCCAAGTTGTGTTCCAGAGTGCCCTCTCTCTGAGGCTTCCATCGAGCCACATCCGTGGTCAATGGCTGTGTTTTTTTCTCTCCACTGAGCTGAAGTTTTTGAGGCCAGGGGCAGGGTCTTAATCAAGTTGGAGGGCTGAGGGCCGACATCATGCTCCAGCCTAGTGCTGGTAAGTGTGAATGAAGGAACCAGTTAGACCCAGACCCGTCAGGGGCAAGGGCACCCGAGAAGTAGGAAAAGGCTCTGGGGCAGCTGCTGTCCTGTTCTGGCCAGTCCCTCCCTCCCCCGTGCCTGAGCCCCACACTAAGAGCGAGTTCCTGGTGCAGGATGTACCCTGTCCCGGATGCCTGGCATTTACCAAAAGGGCAGAGACAGTGAGAAGGGTCTCACCTGTGCCATCCACTCAGAAAGGAGCCGGGCGGCCGGCAGGAGGGAGAGGAGTTAGGTTTCAAAGTGCCCGAAGAGGACAGAGTGATGGCGGAGGCTGGCCATGTCAGAACCCACCAAGGATTAGCATCTAGACCAGATGATACAAGAAGCATCTACAGAGCAACGAGAGGACTGCAATCCTACCCCCAAACTGGGCAAGAGACATGAACAGGCAGTGAAAGGAGACAAGACCCCAAAAGCAAACACGCATGAGAAGAGGTGCTGAAAATCACCAGACACCGCTTACTTCCAAAGGATGGGCAAAAATGAGAGAGCTGGAGGAAGCCCAGCCCCGGCGGGGGTAGGCTAGGGGGCGCACCATGGACTCAGGTGGCCATGCTCCGTCAAATGAAACACAAGGTGCCCTGTGACCCAACAGCGCCACTCATGACTGCATCCCAGGAGTCTCAGCCAGGTCCCCACAGGCCAGGCAGGGGGAGCCCCGCAGTTTGTTCCCACGAGGGGGGCGGTGGGCAGAAAATTGTGGGGATGCACATCATGGAATATGGCACAGCAGTTTGGAGTACTGAGGCTAGATTTTTAACACAGCACTGAGTGAAAATTACAACACAAGGAACACAAGGACATTCACCAAAGTTAAATTTTTTTTTTTTTTTTTTTTTTTTTTTTCAAAACAGCAGTGCCCATGTGCAGGAAACATACAAATGGAAAGAGCCACATCCAGTACTATGAGGGGCAGAAAGGTATAAACACACAAGACAGGCCAGTGAGGCCCACTAATTGCAGCTAAGGGCCACAAAGGGGGACGGTCCCGAAGTCCTCAACGCAGTCCGCAGATGGAACCAGGAGCCCCATGCAGACGGGTCAGAGCCAGGCTGCCCACAGAGGTTGCCCCTGCCCTCCATTGGTAGACGAGGCTCTTGGCCAAAGTCAATCCACCGCACGCTCAGAGCCCATCCGGCTTGGGCATCTTTTGTGCCCTGGAAATGGAAGCAGAAGGAACCTCAAACCCAGAGCCATGGGGCTCCCCTGAGCTGGCTACAAGGAGGAAATGAGAAGCAAGTCCTTACCTTCACAAACGTCTCTATAATTAAGGGATTTTGGTCCTTTTCCTGAAGGAGAGCCTTTATCTTTAGATGCACGTTCAGAAAAATCTGTAAAACAATATGCAGCCTGAGGTGTTCTTCCAAATCACCTAAGGGTGGGGCCGGCGGGGGGGAGAATGGGCAGGGGGTTGATGAAACCAGATTGGCCATGAGTTGATTGCTGCTGAGTCTGGGGATGGGTGTACGGTAGTTCATTATGCTTTGTTCTCTACTTCTGTGTGAGTTTGCCAGTTTCTCTAATAGAAGCTTAAAAGGGGCGCCTGGGTGGCTCAGTCGTTAAGCATCTTCCTTCAGCTCAGGTCATGATCCCAGGGTCCTGGGATCGAGCCCCACATCGGGCTCTCTGCTCAGCAGGAAGCCTGCTTCTCCCTCTCCCACTCCCCCTGCTTGTGTTCCCTCTCTCACTGTGTGTGTCTCTCTCTCTGTCAAATAAATAAATAAAATCTTTTAAAAATTAAAAAAAAAAAAAGAAGAAACTTAAAAAAAGATAATGTTCCCAATAAGAGAGTCTGAGACTAGCCCCCGACCTCAGGGAGCCCCCAGTCTGATAGGAGAGACGCAGCCCCCTGCCCTCTGAGTGGCCAAGGCCTTCCTGCGTCTTCTCAGCCTGCCTGTCGGGCCAGGGGCCACGTGTAGGACAGAGGCATGGTCCTGGCCCCAAGGGCTGAGCTCCCAGACCTGGCCCTCGCCCCTGAGGCCCAAGGGTCAGGCACTGGTATCGTATATAAGCAGACTTGCTTCTGGTTCTGGCTCTACCTGCTTGTGGCCTAGGTTCCTCACCTTAACGGCACCTGCCTGGAACAGAGGAAATGCCCCCATGAGTCCAGTTATTATAAGGGTTTTCTCATCTGTAAAGTGGTGGTGATAATACCGTCCCTGCACAGAGGGTTACAGGGTTTTTGTTTTTGTTCTTAATTTTACTTACTTAGAGACAGAGAGAGGGAGAGAACATGAGTGGGGGGAGGGGCAAAGGGAGAGGAAGAGAGAGAAGCCCAAGCAGACTCTGTGCTGAGCACAGAGCCTGATGCGGGGCTTGATCTCACAACCCTGAGATCATGACCTGAACTGAAATCAAGAGTCGGATGCTTAACCGACTGAGCCACCCAGGCATCCCAACAGGGTTTTAATGAAGTAAAGTATGTAAAGTGGTCAGCCTGGTGCCCGGCACACAGTAGGTGCGCAACATTGGCCATTAGCATTACGACTGCTGTCAGGACCAGCCCCGACCAAGCTGTGAGCTCCTTAGGGGAAAGAACCACATCTTGTTTATCACTGTCTATCTCAGCATTTTGCACAGGGCTTGGTACACAGTAGGTGCTGCGGGTTTTAGGTCAAGTTCCCCAGAAGCGGATCCTGAGATGGGGATTCCCAGCTCAGTGGTTTCCTAAGGCAGTGCTCCCAGGGGACGCTGAAGAGGGACTGGGGGAAGCAGGGTGGGCCAACAAGGGTTCAGAGGCTGGCTTTAGCCTGTCCCACAGGGGACTCTGGGGTACACGTTATACCTCAGGATCCTCCCCATGCCAGGCAAAGGAGCTGAGCCCTCTCTCACCTGCACCCCCATTGTTGGCTAAGGGCCACTTCAGGGGGTGCAAACTTCCAGGCACTTCCAGTTTGGTCCAGTAGCTGAGTACAGTCTGTAGAGAGAGCCCACAGAAGGGAAAGCACACAAAGGCCGGGGAGGGTGCACAGAAATGGAAAAAGGGCCTCAGGGGATCTGCTACACTCCAGAAATATCTTCTTGGTTGACTGGAAACCAGTCCCAGCCCAGCCTCGGAAGGGTCACGGATCCCTGAGGCACGCAGGGTGGTGGGAGGTAGAGAGGTGCAGACAGCCAGGCAGAAGGCAACAGCTCTAACTTACCCTGCAGAGTCCCAGCTGGTCAGAGCCAGGAGGGTCCCCCGAGCGGCAGCCTCTCCCCTGCCTGAGCAAGGATGGGACCGGGGCTGCCTGACACAGTCTCGAGAGTCCCCACTGCATGTCTGGCACAGGAGCTTAGTTCTTCACATGAGTCACTCATTTCACCCTTACAACCACCCTAGATGGTATCCCGATTTAGACACAAGGAAACTGAGGCATGCAGGGGGCAAGGGGCCTGCTGGAGGCCCCCCAAAGAGTTAAGGGCAAAGATGATTCATGTCATTAGTCATTAGGAAAACGCGATCAAAAACCACAATGAGATACCATTCCACACCCACTAGGATGGCTATAAAAAGGAAAATAACCAGTGTTGGCAAGGAGGTGGGGAAATTGGAACCCTCACACGCTGCTGCCGAGAGCAGAGAATGATGCAGCTGCTGTGGAAACAGTCTGGCGGTCCCTCAATAAGTTAAACATAGACTCGCCATATGATCCCAACAATTCCACTCCTCATATGTACCAAAAGAATCGAGAGCAGGTGTTCAGACGAAACTTGCACAAAAATGTCATAGCAGCACAATTCACAATAGCTAAAAGGTGCAAACAACCTAAATGTCTGTCAGCTGACAGGTGAAGAAAGGAAATGTGGTATATCCATACGATGGAATATTATTCGGCCATAAACAGGAACGATGTACTGACGCGTGCGACAACACGGACGAGCCTTGCAAACACCATGCTGAGTCAAAGAAGCCATCACTGAAGGCCACATGTTGTAGACGCCATTTGTATGAAATGTGCACAGCAGGCAAATTCAAAGAGACCGAGTAAATGGGCGGTCGCCAGGGGTTGGGGGAGGAGGAATGGGGAAGTTTAAGTTTTAAAAAAAAGTGACTTAAGGGCAGGGCCTGGCGAGACCCTTCCCTCCACGGGCCTGGGGGCGGCCGACACCGAGTTAGTCGCAGCATTTCAGGACAGAAAGAATAAATAAAACACACTTCTACCGGACGCTATGCTGACAAATTTGGGACTCTAGTTGATTTTAAACATCTCTGTCCCTCGGCCCACTGGAGAAATAAAGGCTCTGGCCTTGAATTCAGACAGACCTGGATGTAAATACTGACCCCACCCCTGGCTCTGTGATCTTGGACATCCACTGTGCCTTCCTGGGCCTCAGTTTTCTCATCTGGAAAATGGAGATACGAAGAAGCATCTCTCAGGGGGCCTGGATGGCTCAGTCGCTGGAGCGTCCAACTCTTGGTTTCAGCTCAGTCACGATCTCAGGGTCATGGGATTGAGCCCCACGTCGGGCTCCACACTGAGTGTGGAGTCTGCTTGGGATTCTCTCTCCCTCTGCCCCCTACCCCCGCTCTCTCTCTTTCTCTAAAATGAATAAATAAATCTTTTAAAAAACAGTGACAATAAATGTTTTAAAAAGCAGCAGCATTTCTCCATGTTGCTGGGAGAATTCAGTGAGTTCACACGTGTGGAAAAGCCCCAAGCATAGTACCTGACACACAGTGAGAGCTCAGCGAAGTCTGCTCCCTCTCTTCCTCTCCTTCTGCACCCACACAGGCCCTTGACGTGGGTCCCGACCAGATTTCACCTGGATAAGCACCTTCCCAGAGGTTGCACGCACGCACACATACACACACACACACACACACACACACCCAAACACCTAAGCCAACAATTCCCAAGAGCTGGCTCCTAACCATGGTTTCACCTGTCCGCAGCCCAAAATGTTGGTGTAAGAATGCCTATAAACCTTTCCAGAGAAAGATTATTCTTTCTTTCTTTGTATTAAAATTTTCATTTTTAAAAAAAGATTTTATTTATTTATTTGAGAGAGTGAGAGAGAGAGGGAGGAGCAGAGGGAGAGGGACAAGCAGACTCAATGCTCAGTGCAGAGCCGAACATGGGGCTCGATCCCACAACTCTGAGATCACGACACCTGGGCGGAAACCAAGAGTGAGACGCTTAACCTACACTTAAGCCACCCAGGCGCCCCCATGTTCATTTTTTAGGATGTAGTAATAAGAAATTAATTTTTTAGGGGTGCCTAGGTGGCTCAGTCGGTTAAGCGTCTGCCTTCGGTTCAGGTCATGATCCCGGGGTCCTGGGATCGAGGCCTACATCGGGCTCCCTGCTCCACGGAAGCCTGCTTCTCCCTCTCCCACTCCCCCTGCTTGTGTTTCCTCTCTTGCTGTCTCTCTCTCTCTCTGCCAAATGAATAAATAATATCTTTTAAAAAAAAAAGAAATTAATTTTTTAAATTATCCTATGTCCTTATTTGACAAATTAAGATGCCAGCAACCCTTACATCAGTTCCCAAAATGACTTTTTGAAATTTTATTGGTAAATCCTCAAATCTGAGAGCACAGCCCTGCCTGACCTGCCCCTCAAGTCTCCCTCTTTTTTTTTTTTTTTAAGATTTTTGTTTATTTATTTGACACAAAGAGACACAGCGAGAGAGGGAACACAAGCAGGGGGAGTGGGAGAGGGAGAAGCAGGCTTCCCGCAGAGCGGGGAGCCCGATGCGGGGCTCGATCCCAGGACTCTGGGATCATGACCTGAGCCGAAGGCAGACGGTTAACCGGCTGAGCCACCCAGGTGCCCCAAGTCTCCCTCTTTTGGCAGAGGGTGAATCCTGCTTCACTTGTTCAGCGGGTGGGAGGATGGTGGGGCCCCTGGGGTCCATCCCTACCAGAGCGGCTCTCTCCAGCCCCTGGTCCCCACATCAGCTGACTCCCACATCCTCACAGGTCAGCCTCTGCTTACCAAGAGACTGCTCCCTGCATCCTGGCACCAGAGGCCTGTCCTCCAGCAATGAAGGGGGTGACATGGAGCCATAGCACCTCCCATTTACCAGACCTCTAGTTTGGCTTAAGAAGGGACAAGCCATGTTCAGGGACCAATTTTCTTGTGAACCAAATGAGACTTCATTAGACTATGTGGAGCCCACTCATCCTGAGCAATTCACAGCCCAAGTTCTTCTACCTGGGAGGGGCCCAGGGTCAACACTGGGACCTCTTGGCCCTCTGCAAGTCTCTCAGGTTAGACCAGACCATTCTAGATGCTACAGCCAGGACTGTACCCCAAACTCCTCACTGAAAATCCTGGTTTGGGCTTGGAAGCAAAGCAAGAGCCCTGCCTGGGAGGCACTCCTACTCTGGAAGATGCCAGGCTCAGCCTGGCATGCACTGGAAGCCATCAGGAGACCATGAGGAGCTGTGAAGAGAAAAGAAGGGAGGAGAACAAGGATGGGCAGACAGACAGCAAATATGGACTAAGGGCCTACCCTGGGCCAGGCCTGGTGCTCTGTGTGAAGAATACAATCATGACAGAGACATACTCCCTGCCCTGAGGGGCTCCCCGATGAGCAAGCAGAAGGGGTGAGGCCAGGGCTAATGCATTGAGTCTGGTCATCTTCCATAATCCCAGAGACAAAAGCTTCATCTGCAAGAGTTCAAGAGCTGACAACCAAGGCAAAAAGTAGGAAAATTCTTTAAGCAATTTTTTAACGACTTTATTTATTTATTTGAGAGAGAGAGAGACAGAGATAGCAAGCGAAAGAGAGAGAGAGAGAGAGTGCGAAGGGGGTGGTGGGGGGAGAGGAAGAAGCAGGAGCCAGACACGGGGCTCAATCCCAGGACCCTGGGACCATTACCTGAGCAGAAGGCAGATGCTTAAGGGACTGAACCACCCAGGTGCCCCAAAAAAGTAGAAAATTTTAAACTGGGGAAAATACACAGAAGGTGGGACAAAGCAGAGTGGAGCCGGCGATTTAGGGGGTGGTTGCAGAGGGCCTCTCTGAGGAGGTGACATTGGAAATGAGGTGGAGAAGAAGAGCATTCCAGGTAGAGAACAGCAGATACGGAGGCTAGGAGGCAAGAAAGGACTTTATGTTCAAGAATGAAGAGTGGGGGGGGGGAGGGAGCCCCTGTGTGGCTGGAGTGCGGCCAGCTACCTGGACAGGGACTGGAGACAGGTCAGGCAAGGCCTTGCAGACTGGGGTGAGGAATTTGGGTTGTGTAATGAGAGCTTCACCTGCATTTAGCTGATAAGAAAACTAAGGCTCAGAGAGGTAAATTACCTTGCCCACAGTCACACAGCTAGTGAGTGGCCAAGGAAGATTCCTCCATGCAGTCTGGGGTCAGAACGCACACTTCTTTCCTCTACCTGCTGAACAGGAACTGGGCGGCCTGTTCCAAAATGCAGTAACTGGAAAGGGATTAACGACAGCTGATTTAATGACAAGGGCAGGAGGGTGGCCAGTTCACCAGGGCAGTCTTTGCTGGAGGTGCTAACAACTGAACGGGACTTTAAGGATGAGGAGGACTTTACCAGGCAGAGAAGTGGGGAGGAAGAGTATTCAAAACAGCTTGAGCGGATGCTGGAGACAGGGAGCACATGGTCTGGTTTGGGATGGGAAGCAATGCATTGCAGAACGTGGAAGACAAGTGTGAGGAGGCAGGTTGGGCCAGATTATAAGGGGCTTGAGTGCCTGGCAAGGATGTTGGAACTGACTCACAAGCCATGAAAAGCCAAGGAAGGTTCTTGAACAGGCTAAGCTGCTCTGTGCTTTAGGAAGAGAACTCCAGTGCAGAGGCAGGAGAGGCTGGGGATGTGGGAAAGGGACAGCTAACATAAAGGAGGGGACAGAGTCTGATGGAGAAGAGAGGAAGAAGAAGGAGGGGAGTGGTGAGTTGTGAATTACAGAGGGAGGTGGAGAAGGGTAGGGCCCCTCAAACCCCAGAGATCACTGGTGCTGCGGGTAACCACCCGTCCCGCCTACTTCCGGGGTCCGGGGCAGACTTATCCTGATCACACGTGACCTCCGCAACCTGTCTGGTGTGTATTTGGCAGAGCAGAGGGGCTCAGGCAGTAGATAAGGAGGGATCTTTGCAGGACCTCACCCCAGGACCCACCCTGCTTCACTCCACCCCCCCACCCCTGCCTGGCCTGGGTCCATGATCCATTCCTAGCCAACATCCCCAGGCCCTGAGCCAGCGACCCCATCCACCCAGAGCTTTCTCTTTATGTCCACAGACCCCAGGCCCATCTTCGTCCCTCTTTGCTTTCATGATGACCCCGCCAGATGATTCCTGCCAGAACTGAGGTGGGC